ATATACATATTAAAAATATTTACTTCTAAGCCTTTGGTTTCTAGTTAAATTATGCCTAAGTATTTTATTCCTTTTTGATGATAGTGTAAATGGAATTCCTTACTTTCATATTCTGATTGTTCAATGCAAATATATAGAAATACACTGATTTTTGTATGTTGATCTTGTGTCCTACAACCTTGATGAATTCATTTATTAGTTCTAATAGTTTGTGGATTCTTTAGAATTTTCTATATAGAAGATAATGTCATCTGCTAATAGAAAGTTTTACTTCTACCTTTCCAATCTTGATGTTTTTATTTTCTTGACTGTCCTGACTAGAACATCCAGGATTGTGTTGAATACAAATGGCAAATGCAGAATCCTTGTCTTGTTCCTGACCTTAGGGGGAAGATTTCAGTCTTTTACAATTAAATACAGTAGTCATTCACAGATGCCCTCTATCAGGTTGAGGAAGTCCAATCTATTCCTGATTTGAGTGCTTTTATATCACAGAGGTATTATATCATGTCAAATACTTATTTCTACATCTATTGCTATGATCAAATGTTTTTGTCCTTTATTCTATTAATATGATCTATCATATTAATTTTTAGATATTAAACCAAACATTAATTTCTAGGATAAATACAGTCAGTCATGATGTATAATCCCTTTTATATATTAATAGATTTGGCTTGCCAGTATTTTGTTGATAATTTTTACATTTGTATTCATAAAGATATTGGTCTGTAGTTTTCTTATGATGTCCTAATCTAGTGCTAATATCAGGGTAATACCAACTCAAAGAATGAGTTGATAGTGTCCCTTCCTTTTATATTTTGTAAGGGTTTGAGAAGAATTCCATATTAATACTACTTTACATGTTCGTTAGAAATTTTTTTTAATATATTTTATTGATTTTTTACAGAAAGGAAGAGAGAGGGATAGAGAGTTAGAAACATCAATGTGAGAGAATCATCGATCAGCTGCCTCCTGTACAACCCCTATTGGGGATGTGCCCGCAACCAAGGTACATGCCCTTGACCGGAATGGAACCCGGACCTTTCAGTTCGCAGGCCGACGCTCTATCCACTGAGCCAAACCGGTCTCGGCTGGTAGAATTTATCAGTAAAACCATCTAGTCCTGGGCTTTTTTTTTTCTTTGTGAGGTTTTTTGTGTTTTTTTTTTTTTTAATGTGTTTTTATAGATTTCAAAGAGGAAGGGAAAGGGAGAGAAAGAAACATTAATGATGAGAGGAAATCATTGATCGGCTGCCTCCTGAACACTCCCTACCGGGGATCAAGCCCACAATCTGTGCCCTTGACTGGAATCGAACCCAGGACCCTTCAGTCCATAGGCTCTATCCACTGAGCCGAACCGGGTAGGGCTGAGTTACTGTTAATTACTAACTCAATCTCTTTACTTATCTATCCAGATTTTATATTTCTTCAGGTGTTATTTTAACAATGATTTATGATCTGCCAACCTCACTATGGCACAGGTAGTACCCTGCACTTCCAAATACGCACTCTCTTGACCTACTTACTAAACTGCAATCCCTATTTCGCTGGTGAGGAAATTGTTACTTTGGACAATCTGTCCTGATGCAGATAGCCAAGCCTAAACCCTTTCTCAGGTGCGTTAATGGTTGCTAGCATTTTCCCAGTATTTCCTGGTGGACAAATGTAGTAGGAAGTGAGCTGAGCAACAAGGCCATGTGTACTCTGGTGACAAGGTAACAGAAACCAGAGAAACGTTTTCACTGCGGCAACTGAAGGAATTTGATGAATTGTTCAAAACCCCTTTTGCAGCCTCTTTCTCCGCCTCATCCGGCACATCTTTACACATGACATTTGCAAGCTTTTAAAAGGCACCATATGTCACTCTATTCTTATGTGCTCAAAATAATAAATCAAAATAATGAAATGTGCTCTCTGATTTCAAACCCACTACCTGGCCCAGCTGGCATGGCTCAGTGGTTGAGCATTGACTTATGAACCAGGAGTTCAAGGTTTGATTTCCAGTGAGGGCACATGACCAGGTTACAGGCTTGTTCTCCAGAATGGCGCATTCAGGAGGCAGTCAATCAATAATTCTCTCTCATCATTGATGTTTCTATCTTTCTCTCCCTCTTCCTCTCTGAAATAAAAAATGTATTTTTTTAAAAACACAAACCCATTACTTGTGTGTCACTAACAAGTTTTTGAGGTTGTTTTTTAGCCTTTCAGGACTTTAGTTTCTTACCTATAATGTAGAGATAAAAATAACATACACCCCAAAGTACTGTTTTGATAAGCAAATAATACAACAACAAAAAATGCATGGAACAATGGCTGACACCTTTACAATTTGTATCATATAGTAAATCATGCTGCTAACAAAATACATCTGATGTTAGCCTCCAGTTGCTGGGAGGTAGGAGTGCACTTCCTATACTCTCCGCAGGGAGCAGATCTACGTACTGACACTGCACAGCTCACGAGGATGAGTTTCTCCGTTCTCAAGGAAATCCAGCCGGCAGAACTAAAATCACAGCCTCGGGAGTCAGGTGAACCTGTGCTCAAAATCCGACTCCACCTTATGTTGGCTGTTATCTTGAGCAAGACACTTAGGTACTACCTTTTTTGAGCTTCTCATAGGTAAAACGGGAAAAATAATACTGACTATAAGGATTTGATGAAGATTAAAACTATCTGTAAAATGGCAAGCATGAGTAAACAAAAACTTGCTTTTATTCGTTTTTTTAAATTTTATTTTACTTTTAAAATTGTTAAATAAATAAATAAATAAGAAAACAAGGACTCCAGAGCTCCTCAATCCTGGCTGTACATGTATCTCACCTGGAGAGCTCTGAAAAGTAAGGCTGGCTAAACTTTATCTAAGACAAATGGCATGCGACTCTCTGAGGTTGGGCCTGGACATCAGAATTCAAAATGCTCTCTAGGGAATTCCAATGTGCAGTTGGGAGTGAGAACCATAACAGCTAGCCAGAAAAGAAGTCCTGCTTTTTACCATCTGCAGCTAATTTTTCTGATTAATGGCTACTCTCCTTACAAAATAAACCCATGTATCCCCTCTCAAATCAGAATTAATAGTACCTCATGGTGAAACGGAAGCTAAGACAATTTGAACAATTCACAGAGAGGCAGGTTTAAAACTCTGGTCAGGCCCTGCAGCCCAGGCCTCTTACTCAAATGCATTTGTACCGACCACTATTTCCTGAGCACAACGGCAAACCTAGTCACGACATGCCCCTCATTAAAATCCTTTAATGCACTTACCGCCTTAGAACACAGTCGTTCCTTAACGGGAACACCACCCTTCCGAAGCTGGCCCCACAGCGTGCACGGTGAGGATGAGTCACACACACCCGTGCTCTGATGCTGCTCTAAACACCAAACCACAACCACCCAAGAGACAGTGCTCAAGCCCAGTGTCCAGTTAACATGCCCAGGAGACAACAGGGTCAACACAAAAGAATCAATATGAACGGTGGCCCCTGGAATGGTGCAACGTGGCAAGGCTGCTGGCCCCGTTTCACTTTCTAGCCTCATCTCTCTCTGATCCCCCTGTGTGCCCTCACACTCACTGTCCTTTCTCTCACTTCATCACCTTAACACGTGCTTTTCCCTCAGCATGAAACATCGGTTCCTCATTTTGCAGACTTTAAAGTACATGTCATTTCCTGGAAAAAGTCTTCCCCACCGCCACTCCACCACCACCAAAGTCCCCCGCCCCAGGTTAGATGCTGCTGCTATAGCTTCACTTTTACATCCCATGTTCCCCCACCAGGACTCTCACACATCAGCGCTACTGAGTGCAAGGACCATGTTGGTCTTGCTCAAGATTCCCAGGGTGTGATGATGGTGGAGTTAAGAGGGGCCCACAAACAACTCTGAATTGACTCACAACAAAAGGTTATTCTCCTAACTCAGGGCTCACTTTCCACATCCTCTAGGTCAGCGTTTTTCAACCGCTGTTCCGCGGCACACTAGTGTGCCGTGAGATGTTCCCTGGTGTGCCATAGGTGCAGACAAGACAAGAATTTTATAATTTTTCACTATTTTGTTTACTTAATATTTCAATATTTCATAATAAAGTAATTATAAAATACTTTCTTTGTGTTTATTTGATTCCTATTCAAGAGAATTACTTTATATATAGTCAATATAGGCACAGAGTTAAATTTTTTAACATTTTCTAATGGTGGTGTGCCTCGTGATTTTTTTCATGAAACAAGTGTGCCTTTGCCCAAAAAAGGTTGAAAAACACTGCTCTAGGTGAACTCTGTGGGAAATGTTAAAAACTGTTGAATCTGGTTGTTAAATATACAATGATCTGTTCTTCCAATTTTTTATAAGTTTGAAATATTTCATAAACCTTTGGGGTAAAAATAAAGTGAATTCTACTTCCATTCCTAATCCTTCCTTTCCTGCGAAATATTATTTAGCCACAGGATGCCTAGCAAAAACCTGTCATAACCATGTTCCCACCACCTGATGATAGGGCCATCAGGCAGTGAATACCAACCTGCTGGTAGCCTAAGAAAATATCATACTACAGAAACCTTAGGGTCTGTTAACAAAAAACAAGAAGCTTCCTGAGAAAAGGAAGAAGAAAAAGATGCTGGAAAGGGTGAACAAACTGCAGGAGGTCACGGCAGTGACATATGAAGTCACCAGGTGAGTGACGTGCATCAGCTTGCTCTGGTGCTGGCCTAGTAGCCACGTCACCAACCAGCCAAGCATGCTCACTTCCAGCAACCACCTAATGTGGACAAAACAGAACACTGTTAACGCTAAAGAGACAGCCCCATTCCCACAGGACTGTGCCCCATCCACAGCTCTTCTTCTCTCTAGAAAAAGCCCTAAGAAACACACTGACTGCTAAAGTTCGAAAGACGAAGAGTAGAAGTGAACCCCTCACGTCCTAGCCCTCTGCTCCCTCCTGCACAGCATTCCTGGCAGAGGACAGGAATGTCCATGCGGCTGTCCTGAGCTCTGACACTTGCCATTACCTCTTGCTGCTTCTCCTCATTGGGGTAGGTGTCTACAAATACTCCCAGCCCCACAAATTTGTCCATGTTTCCAAACACAGGCCCTAGAGAGAGAGAACAGATGATGAACATGAAATAAAGCCAAGATAAAGGAATAATATTCACTATGATGGAGGAAAAGGTAAAATTCAAATGACTCTCAGGCCTCAATTAAGACAAGAAAACATGTAAAAGCACCCAGGAAAGTGCATGGCCTGTACCGAGCACCCAGGACACAGCAGTAGCTGTTATGAAGGCAGGGGAAAGAGAGAAGCCACCGCAACCTTGTTTAGCTGCGCCCTGATCCCGACTGGCTGCTAAGGTGCCCCTAAAGAATTCTGCCTCACAGACACTTGGTGATGACTACGCCCCAAGAGAGATCTAAATCCCCAAGTTTGACTTCTTATTGCAAAGGAGATAGGTTCAATGAGGTGGAGTTTGCCATTTGCTTTGGGCAATGGCTCCCACACAACATGGGGGAAATAGACATTCTTCTCCCAACTCAGGAGTGCTGAATGGGTCACTGTGGAGGCTCAGAAGGATCTGCTCACCCAGTCATCAGTGTTCAAGAGAGCAAGTGCTTTCCCCTCGTCAACGGGCCAGGTGGGTTCACAGGGAAATAAGAAGGAACTAATACGTAAGAAATCAGCCCAGGAGGAGTCAAGTTCTGCTCCTTCTGAGGACACAGACCCCATTCTAGAGATTAGACAGGGCCAGTCTTCATCCACAGATATCAAGGGAGAGGGGAAACTGCTGATATGTAGGGACATACCCTTCTCAAAAAGAGGACACTTGGAAAAGCATGTCAGTGACACCCTATACAAGAGCAATCCAGGCCCTATGCCAAGCTGAGGGAGGGATAAGCTGGAGTTCCCTTGAGAAGGGGTAAGTTACAATCCCCCAAACCTCAGGGTCCCAATACCTGGCTGCATCCGATCCTTTGTGTACCAGATTGCCAAGCCATCCCCATGTAGATTCTTCTTCCCTTGTCCATGGATTTTGAAGTGCACCTGCAACTCCCAGTCTCTCAGGAAACAAGGCTGAAGTGAGAAAAGAACACACACACACATTGGGATCAATGAGGAGTATGAAATGCAAAACGACTGAAGCCCTCAGCAGCAGTCTACAGACTAGGAAAACATAAATGCATGTAACACGAGGCTACAGGTTAAAACTGAAATCTAAGACTTGCTAAGTGTTTGTGTCATAACATTAAATAAATAGAGCCATTCAACTGTATATGAGATTTAATACAAAAAGTGAATAAAACTCCAAATTTTCTTCAACATCTCCCAATAGAAATAGGACAGAACTCCAAAGTTAGGAAAGACACCAAAATGCCATGTGAGATTGCTATGGGCATACACCATCCAGCAAAGCGTCTCAGCCTGTAGAGTACAGGTGGCTGAATTAACTCAGCTACAGGTTAAGATCACCCCTCTGAGAGAAAGGATCAAAAAAGCTTACATTTACAATGGGGGAAAGGAGACAATGCTTTCAATAATAAAGAATTTTAAAAATAAACAACTAAGTAGCTTAAACTTTAAAGGAAGGTCAAAACCTAATTCATTGTAAAAGAGTAAGAAAAATGAAGTCATTAGGCAAAGGTTTCCAGAAATAATTAGCAGATGCTATCCACAATGCTAATTAATTGGACATGGCCCTATGCCAAGCTGAGGGAGGGATAAGCTGGAGTTCCCTTGAGAAGGGGTAAGTTACAATCCCCCAAACCTCATGCTCATGGCCAGGAAGCAAAAATGCACCAAAGGAGATCACTCCCAACCTCACCACAGGGATAGCCTCTGGGGGGGAAATTTCAAGGTGTGACTCCTATTTCTTCTTCTGAATTGTGGAGCAAACCTTGGAGAAATGGAGGTGAGTGCTCTAAATAGTGAACATGCCTGGCCAGTGTGGCTCAGAGGTTGAGCATCAACCCATGTATTAGGAGGTTGCCAGTTCGATTCCCAGTTGGGACACATGCCAGGGTTTCAGGCTGGATCCCTGATAGGGGACATGTAGAAGGTAGCCAACTGATGTGGATGTTTCTCTTGTTAATGTCACTAATGTTTCTGCCTCTCTCACCCTCTTCCTTCCTCTCTAAGTCAATAAAAAGATTTTTTTAAAATAGTTAAACACTTTCTAATAGAAACCAGAGTGGGTATTTGATTTAGAGAGGCTCCTGGTTCAAGTTCACCATGAAGAAAGAAGAGGAGGAGCAGATAGACCAATGGGGTTCAGCCAGTGGCTCTCCAAATAGACTGTTCTGGCTCTCAGTTTAATTTCTGGGAAATCTTCCAAAAGTGTTAGTATTAGGAGTACATATTCCAAATGAAAGGTGTGTGGATACTTCTAAATTCTCCAACAGCTAACCCTCATCTTTATGCTGTTACATTTAAATTTCAGGGCAAGAGTGAAATTCAGTGGCAGAAAGCTGCCCCATAGCCAGAGAGGTGGGTATGATGTCCCTGGGAAGAGGGCAAGGCCCGAGAGGTTCATACTGAGCCAAGAGGTGTCTGCCACTTCTCTCTGGCCTCCTGGAGCACAACGCTATACAGTTTTGATCAGGACTATGTCTAACAATGGTTCACCTGAAGAGCTTCAAGGAAAAACCCCAATTCCCAAGCCATACCCAATTCCAATTAAACCAGAATCTCTGGGGGTGGAATCCAGGCACTGACTCCAATAGACAGCCAAACTTGAGAACCCACTGCTCAAACCAATGCTTCCTACCCAAATAACTCAGAATCAACTCCAAGGTTCTTTCTAATAGCCAGTTATAAAAAAATACAGGTAGACAGGCCTGTGAGGCTCAGAGGTTAGTGTAGGCTTATGAACCAAGATTCCATCAGGCCACATCCCCAATTCGCGGGCCTGATCCCCAGAAAGGGGCATGCAGGAAGCAGCCAATCAATGATTCTCATCATTGATGTTTCAATCTCTCTCTCTTCCTTTCCCTTCTTCTCTGAAACCAATAAAAATCTTTTTTAAAATACAGGTAGCAGAGAATCTGAAAAAGGGCAGGAAAACCAGAGACTAGAATACACTGTCCAGGAACAAGCTATGAGTTATGTAGAGACAGCAACAAAGTTTTGAACCCTGGATAGAATAATTTAGTAACCCAGAGACCTCCATCAATGAATGCACCTTAAAACAGATGTAGGGCATAACAACGTACATTTCTGTAACTACTTTAGCTTTCCAAAGCTTTTTCATGTCTATCCTCACAACAATTCTGGTGGGCATGTAAAATAGGTGTTATGAAGTGCATCTGACAGATGGAAAAAACTAAAAACGGAGATGTTAACTAACCGCCTAGGGCTCACAGTGGGTGTATCATACAGCTACCTCTGGGACCCGAGTCTTTCAACTGGCAGCCCTCAACTCTTCTTCCAGAACACACCACCATACACTGTCCAGAAACAAGCTCAGCGCTACAGCCTGGGGGGGCCAGCTTTTGCAGATGGCTCATGTAGAAATTTCTCTTCTCCCTCTGCTCCTTTCGAATTCTCTGCACATAAAAATGAGCTAGGAGGAGAAATAGTGCTCTTTTCTGGGGTTCACTTATCTAAAACTAATGATTAAAAAAACATGAAAAAGTGAGGTCTTATGTGAACCCAAAAGTATTCAAGAATGCCACGGCCATTCCCAAAAGTAAAGCGGTCATAAAAGATTTCAAAAAAGCCCTGGAAACCAAAAAGAAAGCATCATCTTACACTTGTACAAAATCAGCCGCACCAGGAATCCTGCATTCACTTCTTGCCGCCATCCCTCAAAGGAAGGCAATGTAGCTAGAAAAGGTCCAGAGAAGGACAGATAAAATGACCAACGGCTCACATGACAATAAAACTTAAAATTAGACTCCTTAAAGTGAATTCACATGGGAGGGGGAGAAACTAGGAGGAAGTTCCTGATACATTTAAAAGACCAGTCTTGCCCTGGCCAGTTTGGCTTGGTGGATAGAGCATCAGCCTGCAGACTGAAGGGTCCCAAGTTCGATTCCGATCAAGGGCATGTACCTTGGTTGCGGGCACATTCCCAGTAGGGGGTGTGCAGGAGGCAGCTGATCAATGTTTCTCTCTCATTGATGTTTCTAACTCTATCCTTCCTTCCTTCCTCTCTGTAAAAAAATCAATAAAATATATATATTTTTTAAAAGACCAGTCTTTTACTTTATAAAGCAAAGTAACTAAACATGAGTTATTAACCTCCAAGAAGTCATACTCTCAAGTCTGAATTAAAGACATTTTAGACAACAGAATAAAAATGAATTGGTTGCACCGAAACCAGTTTGGCTCAATGGATAGAGCGTCAGCCTGCAGACTGAAGGGTCCCAGGTTCAATTCTGGTCAAGGGCATGTACCTTGGTTGTGGGCACATCCCCAGTAGGGGGTGTGCAGGACGCAGCTGATCGATGTTTCTCTCTCATTGATGTTTCTAACTCTCTATCCCTCTCTGTAAAAAATCAATAAAATATATATATTTTTAAATGAACTGTTTGCTATAATTAGGGCAATAGAGAGCATTTCTCTAAATATCTGATTTCATTATGAAGGGCATCATAACCTCTGAAATAAAGGCCTTTAATAACCACAGAATACAGACAGTAAAACTAAGCCAATATTCCTCTGGCGGACTTTTTGGGTCACCAACACAGGAGGAAGGAAGATTCTTACCACCCGGTTCCAGAGAGCACCCTGTTTACTCTGCATATCTGGAGTAAGGCGGACATATTGCGTCATCACCATGGCGTTGCCCATCAGATTCCACAATGAGGAACTGCTAGTGCCCACACCTACAGGGAGAAAGTAGATCTGTTTGTACTCTTCACCACCAACCTGTTCAGAAAGCCACCACAAGGCCCTCCAAAAGCTGCAGTCATCTCTTTCCCCCTTTCATGTCAATTTCCCACCTAGCGCTCATAAATCTTAAATCCTTACCATCTCTCTACAGCTTCTTTTCACAAAGCCCTTCTTAAGTGAAGACCCCAAAGCACGTTATCCAACACTCCATGCCCGGATAACCATAGCTCAGATCTATTCTTCCCTTTTTAATTGTGAGTAAACCAAAAAGAGCTTGATCCTCAGGCTTCTGGGGCTTAATCACATTTTTTAAACAATCCAAGCATGGCTTTAGCAGATACATCAGACTATAGCTCAGAGTGAGAGCTGTGTCTATAACCCACAGCATTAGCAGGGACACACACAATGGTCACACACACACACACACACACACACACACCGTGCATCTGCTAACTAAGTGAACAAATAATCACCCTTCGCAGTGGTGAGTGTGCTCTCCCACTGGGAGTCTGTTTGCTTGTTTGCTGTCTCCCTACCTATACTGCGGTGGGGAAACAGGCTTGTGGTTAAGCCAACTGCACTGACTTGGTCCTCTTTGGAGCCTACATAAATGTTCTGGTTGATGAGCTGTGCCTACGAATCTATGAATTCCAACAGAGCAGAGGTGCCAGCCCCTTCCATCAACAGGACTCCCGAACTGGAGAAGAACAGGTGTTTTCTGTCTTCTTTCTCCGCTGAGCCAAGTTCTGCCCCAGCTCTGCCTCCTGCTTTACTTCTGGTGCCTCCATAACTCCATCCGGAGACTGGCTCCTGGCTAGTGGCCCTCCATCATTCGCCCCTTTCGCAGCTCTCTCCCCTCCCTCCCGTTCAGGCCGAGCCCCGGCCCAGGGAGGACCCGCTGGGACCTCCGGCGCCGTGGGAGGGAGGCTGACCCCTGCCCTTCGGACCCGGAGCTCCCAAACTCCGCGGGAGTCCCCGTGGGCCCCTGGCCATCGCCGGCAGTGGCCGGGCCACGAAGCCCGTCGCCGCCCGCCGCTACCGAGGCTCTCAGGTCCCCAAGCCCTCCCCATGCACGACCACCGCGTCCCGGGCGCCTCACCCTGGTAGGGCTTCGACAGCGAGTGTTCCCGCTTCAAGTACTCGAACGTCTGCCCAGACCCCAACAAAAGGAGAAGGAGCAACACCCTGGACCCATCCCAAGCAGACAGACGCCACCGCCACCGGCACCGCCGCCACCACCACCCAGAGGGGCCCAGAGTCGCCATCTTTCTCACTACTGCCCCTTCACTAAAAGCCCGCCCCATCTCACAAGCCATTGGCCCACAGGACTACCTGCCCCGCGTCCCATTGGCTCTCATCGATTCTCCGCCCCCGCAGGTGAGCATCTCACTGATTGGCTGGCTTGGTATCCGTTGCCTTGCCAACCCAGGAAGGGGGCGTGGTCAAGTGCCTGGATTCTCTTATTTGCATTTGTCCTGAGTTCCGCTAGGCCTGCTGGGATTGGTAGTGATTTCAATTTTTCTCTGCAAGCTAAAGACAATTTTAAAAGATAAAATGTTTCTTTGGTGATCTGAAGTAGATTTAAAGATATAAGATGTTTCTTTCTGTTGCACACAGACGTTCTAACCTCTGTGCCATAGTACCCTCTCCTCTGTGCAGAACTAACCATCAATCAGGATGATATAGAACTGAAAGGAGAAATAGACAAACAGTTGAAGTAGAGGGAAAATTGTAAGGAAAATTAGCAAATTTATAAAAGACTTGAACATCACTATAGAACAACTTGACCTGATGACATTAATAGAAACCACACACAACAATAGCAGAAGACATGCTCTAAAAGTGCAAAAGAAACATTTGCCAAGATAGTGTGGGTCAAAACAGCAAAACTCCACAAAAACCTTCACAATTTTAAAGAACTGAAAGCACATGCCGAAACCGGTTTGGCTCAGCGGTAGAGCGTCAGTCTGTGGATTCTGGTCAAGGGCATGTACCCTGGTTGTGGGCACATCCCCAGTAGGGGGTGTGCAAGAGGCAGCTGGTCGATGTTTCTAGCTCTCTATCTCTCTCCTTTCCTCTCTGTAAGAAAAATCAATAAAATATTTTTTTTAAAAAAAAGCACAGGGCAAAATTTGATTAGAAATCAATAACAGAATATTTTGGAGAAATCCCTAAGTATTTGGAAATTGAACAACTAATCTACAATAATAAAAGCATAATATGCTAATTAGACTGGACATCCTTCCTGAGGACCTTCCAGACAAGCCAGGGCTGTGAGGGAAGCCCAGGTCCGGGTGCTGGAAGGAAGCAGGTGGGGGCAGCCGGGGAAAGGAAGATCTACTCTTGCCATAGCGTGAATTTTGTGCCTTGGGCCTGCAGTTTTTATATAACCCAGGAGGGAGTAGGGGGCACTAGAGGACTTAAGCAAGTCCTCTAAGAAATGGAACGGAGTAACCAATGCTTTACCTGGGTAAGCGCAATAATACACTCAGTTCCCAAGTCCAAAGAAGTGACAGTCACCCCAGTTTCTTCTTTACTCACCGATTCCACCATGCAACCAATAATTAATGGGCCTTGATGACTTTATTCCTCTTCTGCAAAGCCATCACAGCCTGCCCATCCTCTAATTTGTCAGGAACCACAAAATGTTTCCCTAGTGTTGTTCTAGCCACCATCATCCACGTGCTCCCCCAACTGACCTAAGCAATCCACCCGGCCGCTTCCTCAGTGTCGATGTTAAATACGTCGAAACTGGTAGAGCTCTTAGAGTAGTGCCTGGCACGCAGTAAGCACGATATTATCATCATCATCGTTATTAACAGAGTCCTCTCAGGGTGACCATCATGTAGGGAAAAGATTCAGGCCCTACACAAAGCCCTCTGCCATCGGCTCTGGCCCTCCTCCGGCCTTATTGCCCTCAGCTCCCTCCCTTCATCTATCTGCTCCAGCTTCTCCTCTTCCCTCTCTTTTTCCCCAGCCCATTCCTCCTGGAGCCTTCCTTGGCTCCCTCAGGTAGGAGCGTACTCCATCTGAGCAATCAACATGCCCCGAGCACTTTGCCAAATATATATTTCTATTTTTGCAATAGATTTAACCAAAGTTAAGTTTTTTTTTTTTCTCTAAGCATAAATATATTTAATAAGAGAAACTTTGAATGCAAGCCTGTTTTACAGGGGGGTCAACTTTTTAAAATTAAAGCTGTCACTGTCATTGATCTTTTACACACGCCACACAAAGCAGATGCCTGGTGATAAAACATGAGGAATTGCAGAGAATCTATTCCCTGTCACACCCTCACTTCAAAACCACTCATGGCTCCCAATTATCATAGAATGAAATCCAAACTCCTTAGTGTCGTATTCAAGGCCCTTGAATCACAACCTGGCTCCAATCAGGCTGTACACGTGTCCATTACAACGTGACACCCTGGATAATGTAGCTCAGTTATGTTTGTCTCCTGGGCAAGGCTGGGAGCTTCTGGACCACAGGAAGCAGGTCTTACTCGTTCCAGGCCCTGCCCACTTCCCCCTCTGTCTAACCCATAACCCAGCACATGGAAGGGGTTCTAATTGTTTTAGATAAAATTATTTCCATTGTATTTCTATGTCAGCTGGAATTTTTATTGTGGTAAAATATACATTATTTAAAATTTCCATTTTAACTTCCTCACTTCCCCCAGTCTTCACTCATGGATACATTTTCACTGCTTTTAGAGAGAGAGAGAGAGGAAGGCAGAGACAGAGAGAGACAGAGATCAGTTGCCACACCCAAAACTTAGGTATGTGCCCTATTCAGGAATCGAACCGGCATTTGGTGTACTGAACAACATTCCAACAAACTGAGCCACCCAGCCAGGGCCCATTTCACTATTTTAAGTTTACATTTCAGAGGCTTTAGTGCATTTATACTGTCAGCTGGGTTTTTGATAGATTATCCCAGCAGCTCTCTCATTGTAAAGTTCATCATGATGATAAAGGAGAGTGTGTGAAAGACAAAATGTTCAGGACAATAAATTCAATGACTGTTCAGATTCTTGCAATAGGGAATGAGCTCATTAATGAGGAACGTATTAAAGAAAAGGAAGGCGGCCTGGTAAGGAGGTGACCAACAAGGTTTTATCCGGGTCATCGAAGCAAGGTGGACGGGATCTTATCTTGGAATATTCTTTTAAAGTCAGCCATTTCCTAGAATTCAAAATGGGGGGTTGGGGAGTCACAAGAGGGTGGGAGTGATTCCTTGACTGTAGCTGCTCTCCAGAAGTATGGGGTTCAGATAAAGCTCTACACTGTCAAGGTGTTGAGGGGCGTTGAAGAGAAAGAGGAAAAGGAGCCAGGCCCCTCCAACACTGCTCCACACGTGCCTGGAACCTTCTGGAAGCCCAGGGAGGTCTTGACCTCCCTTCCCTTCAGCTGCTTAATATTCCTCTTTGTCTCCGTGGAATCGTCTCCCTTGACCTGGGGCTGCACACCTTCAGGGCCTGGGGCATTCATACTCAGTGTGATTTGTGAGTTCCAGCCTTTCTGGGTGATTCTCTAGTTTCCTGTCTTCGAAGCCAAACAGAACCGTTACTTCGGAGCTCCTTGAAGCCTGGCGCCCACACTACCTACCCTCCGTGACAGAGACTCCAAGGCAGCCTCTGACCCCCTTCTTTCCTCTCCCTCCCACTTTTCACTTTTTTTTTTCCTTCCAATTAGCAATAATCGTGCCTCAGATAAACCTCCTTGGCTACGATACTGCCACTGCGAAAGCTAGAACTCTTCACTTTTGAACCATGTCATTCCATTTAAACCCACTCTGACCCCAAACCTAGGCCCCAAAGCGGAGCCTGCCAGTAGCCCTCCCACCGCCAGGTGCATCCCATCATTCCTCCCTCCTCAGGACCCGCTGGGCTCTGAGGTTGGGCCCGTCTTCAGCCCAGGTCCAAGTGGGCCTGGCCACTCCCTCCAGTTCTCAGAGCACGGAATGGGACACGGACTGGCTCCTTTCCAGTGTGACTTACAAATTCTGGCCTCCTGAACAAGCCTCAATTAAACAGCCAGCAGTGCGTTTGGTGTCCCCGGACTCCTGGTTCCCACTCCCAGACACCTAATTCGTTGGTCTGGGGTAGGACCCAGGGGTTTGGGGTTGAAAATATCTTTCCAGAGAGTTTGATATTTGGCCAATTTCCAGAACCACTGCCCTCTCACCTCTAGGATCTCATTGCGACGTCACAATGTCTTAATGTAGTGGGCATTTATACTCAGTTCAGAGGGTGACCTTCAAACAGGATACACCATCTGAACTGAGAGATAACATCTAGAGATTTGCTTTAAAACAGTCTGGGAAATTGTGTGCCTTTTGGGGGGAGGGTGGGATAGAGGAGAAAAGCAGGATGTTGACGGATGTTGAAGCTGTATTATGAGTATGTGCAGAGTCCCTCTAGCTCTATAATAAAAAGCTTTTAGAAATCTCCCATGGAGATGATTAGGAAATACGCTGGGTATGCATTTATGTTGTTTTCTAAGTTTTCTCTAAGGAATGAAAACTGTAATTAACTATAATCTAGTAAAGTTCATTGTGGCCCATCCGATACAGTGTTTTTATAATGAAAAAGAAAGAGTCTGCAATCTAGAGGAACAGGCAGGGATGAGAATATGTCAGAGCATGTCATTTCACGTGTCCTGTGCTGGTTATTCAGAGCAAGCCTCCTGTCCAGCGCATTCGTAAAGACTTCTCACTTAACCTTCTAGCTCTCTCAGCAGTTCAACTTCTCAATATATCAAGGAATTAGTATCAGTATATTATTTTATAATCATATTAGTATATTAATTAAGAAATGTGCATTGGGGTTTATCACTCAGTTATTTGTTTAGTCAGTGTGACTTACCCACCCCAATCTGTTTGCCCTTCAGTGAATTGATAAAAATCAATTCCCGAGGGCCAGATCTCAGATCTGTGGTGACTGATGAAGTGGCAGAAGTCCCGCAAATTAGGGACTGCCTCTAGGCATCCAGATGCCTGCTTGTCTCAGAGCTAGAGCAGAAGTTCACCAAGAATTGCAGAACCAGTGGGGAGGAGGGAGAAGAATTCTGGCCTATTTGAGCTGGAATGTAAACATCTGACCTTTTGAGACCTGGCTCTGTTCTGTGACCTTAGGCACATTAGGTAATCTCTCTGAGCCTCAAATCTCCTCTCCGCAAGGAAGTGATGACACCTACCACACTGGATTGTTGCGAGCCATTACGTGTAAGATTGCATAAGGAATGCGCAGGCACACCGTGGGCTCTATTGAGTTCTA